GGCTGTCGGAGTCACGGGCCACCCTGCTCTCCAAGCTGCTGGGTGAGCTGGGGGGGGCACATGGCGGGCACAGAGCGGGGGGGCTGTGCTGGTGGCCGGGGGGGTCCCCAGCACCGCTGTGACCCCCCACTCTCCTCCCCAGCTCTCGGGTACGGATTGCTGTGCCTGGGGATGGCCTATGTCTCCTCCATGCTGGGCCCCGTGCTACAGGTAAGGGGGGGGCGCGGGGTCCCCCCAGCCCCGGCACCCGGCCGGGGGGTGTCGGGTGCTGAGGACCATGTCCCCGCAGGCGGCCATCAGCATCTTTGGCATGGTGGGGGGCCCGCTCCTGGGGCTCTTCTGCCTGGGCATGTTCTTCCCCTGTGCCAACCCCACGGTGAGTGTGTCCCCTCCCCAGGGGGGTCTCAGACCCCACGGAGGAGGGGGGCAGTGATGGGGGGAGGCTGGAGTGCCCTGAGCCCAGCCGGGGGTCAGCACCCTCCCTCTATCTCCACGCAGGGTGCCGTCGTGGGGCTCCTGGTGGGCCTGGCCATGGCTTTCTGGGTGGGCATCGGCAGCCTGCTGCAAAGTATGGGGGGAGCCGGGGGGGTCCCCCCGCCCAACGGCACTGCGATCCCCCCCATGGGCAACCTCACCACCATCCTGGCCACCACCGCGCTGGCCCCCACCACGGCCCCCCACAGGTGAGCAGGATGAGGGGGGCTGTGGCTGCAGGACGGGGTGTGTGGGGGTGCTGCTCCATGCCCCCCCCCACCCTGACCCCTGTCTCCCCCAGCCCCACGGGGCTGGAGAAGTTTTACAGCCTGTCCTACATGTGGTACAGCGCCCACAACTCCACCACCGTCATCGTGGTGGGGCTCCTGGTCAGCCTCATCACCGGTGAGTGCCGGGGGGCGGGCAGGGGGGGCTGGCAGCGGCCCCCCACCCCGCTCACCCTCCACTCTGCCCCCCAGGCCCCACGCCGGCGGCAGCCGTGGACCCCCGCACCATCTCCCCGGTGCTGCCGCGCCTGCTCTGCTGCCTGCCCCACAAGTACCGGCGGAGGCTCTGCTGTGGGGTGGTCTTTCCTGACCAGGTGAGGGGACCCACACCTTGGGGGGGAGATGGACACACACACAGTGGGGTTCGGTGCCCCTGTCCTGTGTTCCTGCTGCCCCCCCCCCTCTCTGTCCCCACAGGACACTGACCATGCGGATGCCGTGGTGAAGAGCAATGGGGTGGCCAATGGCCTGCCCCCCCTGCCCCCCGCCGGGCGGCTGGAGGAAGAGGAGGGACAGGGCTACATCCGCGCAGAGGGGGCCCCCGCCTACACCCTGCAGGAGACCTCCTTCTGAGCCCCCCCTGACCCCCCCAAACGGACCCCCCCATGGGGAGCCTGGACATGGCTGGGGAGCACTAAATAACCGGGAGGGGCTGGGTGGGCTGCACCCCCC